GTTGTTGAGACGTCCCAAAGCGCTTCAAGGAATATACTGAAAAATGGAGTGACTGTGTATTTTCTCTTCAAACCTTCCACTCTCCCCAACCCCACAAGTGGCCAAATCCCTCAGCTCCCACTTACCACCTTGTTCAGGAGACGTGAAACTAAGATCAAGCATTCCCAACACTTAATTCCCATTGCCACTATGACCACATGCCTCTACCCTGCTCTGCAGGATGAATTACACACAATAAAAGCTCTCAGCCCAGATAGACTTGGTTTGTGAATACACTTTGCACCCAGTGAGCTTTACGGTGGATGGGGAAGGAGTGGGTTGGGGGGAAGATAAGATTGATCATCTTTTCTTCAATGTCAACATGTTGTAAAGCTTGTTTGCAGAGTGCACAGACTGATCTATTTGTTTTGCGAACAGCTTAGGGTTAGGGTTAGGTAACATAAGAGCGAATTGCAGAGCAAAGAATTGCGTAAACAGACTTCCTGGCAGTTTGTGAAGAAAGGAGATTTAGATTTTTTTGGCATCCTTTCAAGAATTGCTTTGCTTGAAATACTTGTGTGTAAATCTGAACAATATAGGTCTGACGCTGTGCTCGAGACACAAGCTCATTTTCCTCTGCTCCGTCTTATCAGTTTAGGAAAGATTTTGCTTCAACTTAGGTACCCAGCTCCACATGAGGATTAGCAGTTGACAGGCATGAAGATCTGCCCCAAAATGTTTTGTCTGTGAGGAAGGGAAAATCTGACGTCTTGTTTTCTGAGAAATTTCGAGTCTTTAACTTTTTTAAAGTTTTTTTTTGACTGCGAGTTGAGCATCTAACATCTGGTTTCTTCGAAGGCGACCAAGGTAAGTAACCCTCGGGGGATAATAATAAGTTATTATTCTCTAACTGGATTTGTGGCCAGCTTTACGCTCATCAGTAACAGCAAAAACACTGAGTAGCCTGTTTGTAAAGCTACCCCTCCTGAGGATTGTTCAGAGGTACAATAAATAATCCTTGTGTTTTGCACAGTGGCTTATCATCCCCTCCCCCTGCATGCTTTATTGTCTTATTACATTGAAAAAATGTCTCAAAGCTCTCACAGGAATTACTGTAAACTGCGGTGACTGCATTTTGTGGGTGAATGCCGCGGTAAATTTGCACAAAGCAATGTCCTACAAACAGCCATGAAGCGAATGATCGATTTTGTCTAGGAGATTGTTGGCCCGGACACCGGGAGAGAAACTCCCTTCCCGTTTCGAACATTCGGAGTCCTTTAGCTCAGAGGTTAGAGCACTCACTTTGCAAGCAAGAGACTTGGGTTTGATTCCCGACAGGGCGAAACCTTGGGCAAGTTTCCTTACTCCAGGAATAATAATCCCTCAAAAAAAATTGATCACATCAATCCACGACTGTTTGTGGGACACTGCTGTGCGCAACTGGCTGCCGCGTTTCGCCCACAAATATACAGTCAATTCACTTTACAGTATATTCTGTGAAGCGCTTTGAGACGTCTAGAAGATGTGAAAAGCTCTATATCAAATGCAAGGATTATTATTATTATTATTATTATTATTATTATTATCAATCAAGCTATAGGAGTGATTTCCACCTCAATTAAGACTTGAATTTTTTTCTCAGTGTTTCACAGTGTGCAGATTTTATCGAATTATTATTTTATCAAATTATGTAATAACAATAATCCTTGTATTTGATGTAGTGCCTAAAACGTCAACATCTCAATTCAGTTTGTGGAATTTCCTTAAATAAATTCATAATTTTGAAGCTGTTTTTCTCTAGTTCTTAAAATAATCCACTGCAGACAATCAGCTTCCAAATTAAGAAACAAATTTTAATTTTTTTTACAAAAATAGGGTGAGTCTAGTCCCGGGTTAGAATTTATCCCTTACTGTGTGCTCTGTAACTAATTTGTAATGTTTCATTTGTCACATTTGTTACCGCTGAACTACATAAAGTATTATTCACAGAGTGCAAGAGTTTTCTATCCAATTTTGCCTGCCCCATTCAAAAATGATCATTTCTTAAGTCTGCAAGATGTTCATGTGGGGCTGAGATCGGAATACATATCTTTGCATATAATATAGCACCTTATATCGTCAAAATGTCTCAAAGTGCTTTGCAGGATTTACTATGCAATGCAGTGACTCCTTTTTTTAAGGCAAATGCGATAGCCAATTTTTGCACAGCAATGTCCCACAAACAGCCATGAAGTGAATGATCAATTTTATCTGGTGGATTGCTGCCCGGGAGAGAGATATTCCCTTCTCTTTTCAAATAGCGCCACTGGATCTTTAACGTTCACATGAAAAGGCAGAAACAGGACTTTGGTTTAATATCTTAGCCAAACCACGGCATCTCCACGGAAATTTTAATAGAAGCCCAAGGCAAAAGATTGACGCCACAAAGCGTGTAGTGCTCCGCCAACACTGCTTTGGAGCGTCAATCTAGAATGAGCAGTATGTGGGGGTTGAACATGCTATGTGGAGTCCTGTAGCTCAGTGGTTAGAGCACTCGCTTTGCAAGTGAGAGACCTGAGTTCAATTCCAGGCAGAGGGCGAAACCTTGGGCAAGTTTCCTTACTCCACACAGAGCCCAATAATCCTCCAAAATACAAAAAACAATAATAAATTGGTCATTTTCAATCTACGACTGTTTGTGGGACATTGCTGCACAATTGGCTGCCGCGTTCACCCACAAATATACAGTCAATTCACTTTACAGTGTGTTCTGTGAAGCGCTTTGGGACGTCCTCCCGACGTGAAAAGCGCTATATCAAATGCAAGGATTATTATTATTATTTATTATAAACGGAATATAAGATGTGTTTAAATGAACTTCCTTTGAACATTCTCTACGTTGAATGTAAACAGTATCGTAGCCAGATCGCTGTACATTTTCTCAAACCAAATGATGGCATTATTTTCCTGGGATGCTATTGGTACATTTAAAAGCTTTGAATAACATTTAAGAGACAGTTGCTGATGTGTGTGTGCTGTGTGTAAACTGTAGTGAGAAGAGAAAGAGATCCTTTTTTTTGCCTTGGGCTTCTATTAAAATTTCAGTGGTTTCCTTTTTCCATTTTTATAACTGTGATTGAAGATGCTATTTGAACTGGCTTGTGTAAAAGACACATCGTGTACTGTTATGTTCTAGTCCGCATATAGCAGTCAAATAGGACTATATCCAATTTAATATGTTCATTTGTTGCTACTGCCACTTAACATCTGTTAGGATGCGTTGCTAGGCACAAGCAGCTAAACATGGTTTAAATGGATGCATGGTTTAAATCAACATTACATGAGTATAAAAGATCAATATCACCAACATGTCAGCCTGGCTCAGTTGGTAACACTTTCACTTCTGAGTCAGAAGGTTGTGGGTTCAAACGGTGTTCCAGCACAATGTTAGTCCACAAAATACACAGTCACTGCACTTTACAGTAAATCCTGTGAAGCACTTTGGGACATCACTCCCGATGTGAAAGGCCCCGTGCCAAATGAAAGGTTATCATAATTTTTTTAAAGAATTATTCCATGGATTCTTTACATGTGCCCAATAAATGATTGATATGTTTTGCAGAAAAGTACTGTATTGTCTTCAAAAATTTAGAAAGATTAGGCTTCCCACAGCAAACACAAATAAGGGCAGATTAATGTAATTCATCAACATGTGATTAAAAAGGCTCAGTAAATATGGCTTTTCAAGTCATGTGAAGTGCTTTGATATTATTGGTTCTAATTAGCATCATGACCATGTGTAAATTTGATCTAATTTATGTGATTAATGGCTGTTATCTCAAATAACACAGCAGTTACATCTTTCAGATTCTACATAAGTAGGTCCCTTTGCTTCTTATTTAAGATAGAAGGTTTGATTGGTCAGCCGGGTCTCTGACACATGCAGAAACCCATTTCCAATGCTCAAGAGTCTCCATCCCAGACTGAGAATTCCACGTCTGCTACCAACACATGGAAATTCCCCTGAATGGAATGCACACTCTTCCCTTGAGGGATGCACCCTGCTTATCCAGTTCCAGGGAGTATTGGGCGCAGGTTGGTACAAGTCAAGGCTTGGGGACTCCAGAGTGTACGTTGAGGTAAGATGGATAATATAAAAGCAGCACAGAGCGATAGTGTGACGCTCTGGAGGAGATGCTACGCAGATAATCTTGGTTGCTTTTGTCAGTGAGACCAGGAGAGAAAAAATCCTTGCATTTGATTTAAAGATCCAACGACACTTCAAAAAAAGAAGTTTCTCCCGATGTCCTGGCCGGCAATCCCTGAGCTAAAATTGGTCATCACGCCTTTGCTGTTAAGTCCTTGCATTTGGTACACTGTCTTATCATGTCATTGAAATGTCTCAAAGTGCTTCAAAGGATTTTACTATGGAGTAAATATGCCTTGGCATGTCCTCCTGGTGTGAAAGGCACTGTATAAAAGCAATTTTTTTTTGTTGTTATTTGTTTGAGTGTAGTGATGGTGTATTTTGTTTGTAAACAAGCGGGTTGAATAAGTTACATTAAAGCTGGGAAAGTGGGTCAAATCTTAGCCTGTTGCTCTCCTCGTCAGCACTGTGGTCAGGGTAGATTTTGCTGTCATCTCACCATGCAGGTATCTCTTTTAGCACAAAAAATTTGAGTTATTCAGGGTTAAATGGTTAATGCAGCACAATGGAATTTTCACAGAGGAACTAGCAAGTTCTGGAAAATTTGAGTTAGTTTGTAGGGATTCTGAAACTTGTTGCGTTTCTGGCAATGAACTGAATGTTTCTGATCTGCAGGTGACTGATGTTCTCTGGCATGTTGGGCTGATTCATCCGCTGTCTTGGCTGAAACGTGTGGGTGGACAATGAATGGTGTGTGACATCGCTCATTATCAGAGTGGCACATGAGGATAAACTGACTGATCCAGTTCCATCAGCTGTTAGAGTGACAGAGAGAGAGAGTTTGTGAGCACATTTGCTGATCACACACAGCTTTGTGGTCAAACCATCTCCGGTGAGGTAGTGTGCCTAACTGCTAACTCTTGCACCAAACATCTCTCTCCATGTCTTGGCCTGAGTCCAACCGCAGGGAGGGAGAACGTCTCAACACTTCCTGCATTTGTCAGTCTAACGTAGGCTGTGAGATATAGGAAGCAATACTCAGCCTTATCACTGAGGCACAGACAGAAAACATTCTCGGCCACTCCACAAAAAGGCAGCGAACATTCTCAGCCACTCCACAAAAAGGCAGTGAACAGACAGAACCACCCGTCAGGAAAAAAATTGAGTGTTTAGCTTTGTGGGGGATTTCTGCAATCAAGTAATTCAGTCTCCGTTAGCAAAGAGGCAAGGAAAGCGGGTGCATAAAGCTTTAAGAGGGTTTCTCATTCCTTCTACAATCGTTTCCAGGCTCAGCTGCAGAACTCGGAGAACAATCTCCTTCCCCCCCACCCCCGCACACACACCCCCCAAGATGCTGTCAAACTGTCTGTCGTTCGTGAGCTGTGTTTGCACAGTGTTAGCCATGTCTGGCTCCAGCTCCTACCACAAGGAAAAGGAGAGTCTGGAGAAACAGCACCACCGGGTACAGCATGGACCGTGCAGCTACACCTTCCTGCTCCCCGAGGTGGACAACTGCCGCTCAGACCCCGACTTCCAAATGTCTAACTCGCTGCAGAGAGACGCTCCTCCCCCTGCGGAGCCCAACTGGTCCAACAAACGCCTACAGCATCTCGAAGGCGTGATGGAGAACAACACCCAGTGGCTGCAAAAGGTAAGCGGCGCCAACCGTCTCCTAGTCCCCTACAAACGGACTACTTACTTGTCTCCTGTGGCAGCAGGTCCTCGCCCCCATTCGGAGCTGTACGCAGCCCAGTAAAACACTGCGATCAATCATCCTGCCGCTGCTAAAGCCACGCACACAATAGTTAGCCTCTGCTTCGAGTGCTCTAATGTTTACAAAATAAAAATAAATGAACCCCTAAATATCCTGGGTGCTGTAGGGTCTGACGGAAAGCCTTTGGGGAAATGTACAGCACGACACAACTTGGCTTTGGCAGCAGGAACATTGCAGCCCTGAGCCACAGCAAAAATGATAAGTTTGCATTTTGTACAGCATCTTTCACGTCAGGGAGGAGATATTGAAACGCTTCGAAGGATTCACTGTAAATTAGAGCCTATTTTGTGAGCGAACACAGCAGCCAATTTGCGCACGGCAAACAGCGCCTCAGGATCTTTAAGGGCCGCCTATAGATACAGCCGAGACCTCAGTTTAACTTCTTATTCAAAGGACGGTACCCCTGACATTGCAGGACTCCCCCAGCACCACTCTGGAGTGTCAGTCTGGACTGTGAGTTTAAAGTCCCAACATGCGGTTTCAGTTGACAAGCTTCTGACTCAGGGACGAGAATGCTGCCAACTGAGCCAGGCTGACACACAACACATTTGATTAATTGTGCATCTTAATTTAGCTCCAACTTTGGCAACACAAAAGGTTTTTCAGCTTTGGTTGTGTTTTTGTGCTGCCAAAGAATGTCAGTGAAAGCGCTGGACACCAGTGTATTTCAGCTCCATGATGCAAAGTGCTATTAAAATTAATAATAATGATAGTGCCTTTCACGTCATTGAGATGTCCATTTGAACAGGTAAGCGGGACCTCGGTTTAATGTCTCATCCAAAGGACAGCGTATCTGACAAAGCAGCACACCCCAGCACTGCATTGGAGTGTCAGCTTAGACTATGTGATTCCAAGTCCCGACATGGGGCTTGAACCCACAACCTTCGGATTCAGAGGCGAGAGCGCTACCATTGCGCTAGGCTGACACACTGTTGGTATTATAACCCTATCACTTCAAGCTAGTTGAGAAGTAATCTGCTGTAGATAATCAGCAAATTCTGTGTCTAGTTATATAGTGGATGTTTGGGGTTAATTATTTTCTCCCTCTCTCAGTGAAAGAGATGTTTGAATCAAGGCAAAAAGAGTGTTTAATGTATTCGAGGCACAGTGAGTGCTGAGTTTCCCATTGCGGATTGGGATCAGCGTCTAACTCCCTATTCAGGCAGATGGCAGTCAGATGTAATATATCTTCTGTACAAAACTTTTCCAGCTGTTATTATAATAATAATGATTCCTCGCGTTTTGATATTGTGCATTTCATGGCAGGAGGATGTCTCTGAGATGCTACCCCATGTGAAGAGAGCTATAAAAGTTGTTTTTTGTCACAAAGCGCTTCATAGGATTTAATGTAAAGTGGAGTGACTGTGGGCGAACGCAGCAGCCAATTCGGGCAGTGTCCCACAAACAGAGATGAAATGAGTGACCGATTTTATTTGGGAAATTGTTGGCCCGGACATCGTGAGAGAGAAACACTTCTCTTTTCGAATAATGCCACGGGATTTTTAACATCTTCCCGAAGAGGCAGATAGGTTTAATGTCTCGTCCTCAGGATGGCAGCTCCAACACAGCGCTTCCCCAGCACTAAACTACACTTTAACCTCAAGATCCAAAAGTGGGTCTTGCAAATACAATTTTCTGACTTGGAGGTGAAAGTGTGACAGAGCAGTGTATTGAAGTGTCAGCCCAGAAGGAAACCGTAATATTTTTTATGTCTAGAAACAGCAGCCAGGAAGCAAAGCGTATTCGCTTTGGAATAAACCGTTTACATCAAAGCTGCAGTTTGTGGCCAAAAAAGTCCGGGACAGAAACGTGGAGAGCTGGGAAGAGCAAGAGCTTTTTGTTTGAAGGTGTTTCCTCGTCTGCAGTGAATTTGATTGATTGATTGATTGATTGATTTGCTTGAATGATCGATTTCTCGCCCGCTCTCCTCGCTGCTGAGATGGAAGTGTTTGGCTGAGTCAGTTAAAGGGAATCCAAAATGTACTTCCCCATTAACGTAAACTGAAGCTTTTTTTTGTTGATTCTTGTTTTAAAAACTTTAGATAAAATCCATTGAGTAGATGTTGTTCTCAATAAATTATCTCAGAACAAAATGGAATCACATGTGGAATCACAACAACAACAACTTGCATTTATAGGCACCTCATACATGGCAGCGTCCCAGTGCGCTTGAAATCACTTTGGGATGTCCTCCCGAAGTGACAGGCAGGCACTGTGTAAATGTAACTTGTTTTGTGGAGCAGATGGACAGTGTCTCCAATCCTCCCTTCACTTTTTGAACCGAGTCACAGGATCTTTAACATCCAGGTTCAGGAGTTGTCTCCCTTCTGTTGGCTGCCAGAATCCTCTGTGCAGTAGTGTGGGCTGCCTGCTATCTGCTCTCTGCGTGATGTGTGTTTACAAGGAGAAGCTGCCCTCAGCTCGGTGCTGTTTAGCACCAAATCACCATCTCACTCTGAGAGCCCACAGGCTGATGTGAGATGTGAAACATTGCAATAATAGCGATCCTTGTATTTGACCTGACGCCGTATCACGTCATCAATGCATCCCAAACTGCTTCACAGAATTGACTGTATTTCTAGGCAAACACCCAGCCAATTCTTACACAGCAATGACCCACACATGGCTATGAAGTGAACAACCATTTTTTTTGATCTGGGGTAATTGTTAGCCAGGACACTGAGAAACTCCCTTTCATTCTTTTCAGTTGTGACAAGCGGTCTTTAACATCCAACTTAACAAGCACGGATACGACCACAGTTTAATGTCTCATTTGAAAATGGCACCTTCAATAATACTGCACTCCCCAGCACTGTGCTGGAGTGTCAGCCTGGACTGTAAGCTTGGTGTCCCCAATGTGGGGCTTGAACCCCCTAACATTTTGACTCGGAATACAAATTGAGCCAGACAACTGACACACAAAATGGGGGTGTGGGTGGGGGGGTTGGGAGGGGAAGAGTGAAATAATGCAGTACTTAATGTATACTGCAATCGTCACATACTACAATTTCTACCCACCCGTAGGAACAGGAGTTGGCTATTTAGCCCCTCAAGCCTGTTTTCCAGCGGCAACCTCCCTCTCCTTACTAGAAATGTCATAGCTTTAAACCAGAATTCCATTCCCAGCATTTAACACAGGATTTTTGTGACGTTTTCCCTCTGAATCTGGGGCGGACACTGGAATACTGGCCTGGGGAAGGCTGCCTTGTCTGAGGTCCCTTCGTCAGGTTGATGTTTAAAAATCCTGTGACACTGATCCTGGTGTCCTGGCCAACAATCTCCCAAACAAAATTGATCATTCACCTCGTGTGTGTGCAGATGTGTTTGCATTTGCGAGACTTTGTAATAACTGCCAAGTGACTTCCAAACAAGTTCCTATACTATAATAATAATAATCCTTTCATTTGATATAGTGTCTTATCACGTCTTCGAGACGTCTCAAAGTGCTTCACAGAATATATTGTAAAGTGAATTGACAACATTTGTGGGTGAAACGCAACAGCCAATTGTGCACAGCAGTGTCCCACAAACAGTCATGGATTGAAAGACCAAATAATTATTGTTTTCTTTAAAAAAATGTTTTATCACACTATACTTTGTGATAGAGTGAGACATTTCAGTGTGATAAGGCGCTGTAAAAATCTGATCTTTCCTTACCCCTTTTCCAAGAGCTTTCTTCGTGGGAGAGTGGCATAAAATATCTGTGACAAAGTGCAGGGCTGCTCTTAAAACTACAAATATGATTTCAGTATCTGAGGAATGGATAATTTTGACCCGTAAAATAACCAGAAGAGAATCATCTGGCGTGTTTGTGTATTAAAAAAAANTCCTTGCAGGAAGCTATTAGCCTCCCTGCAGGAATCATTTTTCAACACCCTTTAAAGGGAAATCGTCAGAAATGTACATACTATTTAATTTTTTTTTATCTCTCCCATTAACAACGGGGACTAGGTCTGCTTTGTTATTGATCATTGTAGACTCTTGCAATTATATATATCCCTTTGGTCATTATAAACCCATACACGGTCCCCCCCACCCATCAGTCATTCACATTATGGCTGTGTCAGGTACAAACCCTCGACCACCCAGGGCCTTGGACAACGTAAGCGATGTTATTTAAATGCAAATTTATATCAACCAGGTGATGAGACGCTATATCAAATGCAAGAAAAATGATTAAATTTGTTGTTGGTTGTGGGAGGTTGCTCTGCACAAATTGGCTGCCACGTTTGCCTACAGAATTACTGGGCTTCACAGTAAATTCTGTGAAGCACTTTGAGACGTCCTCCTGACGCGAAACGTAAATCAAAATTAAGGTTATTATTATTTTATGATTATTATTATTATTGAGTTGCTTGAAACTTCCTTTTCTTGTTCTGAGCTGGGCCAGCAGCGGGAAGTTTGCCAGTTCTCCTCGATGGATTTAGCTGGTTAAACTCCCAACAATTGCCCCAAAGCTCATTCTGTGTTCACCAAGTCTTGGCTCTCGCCAACCAGCGGCTAAACTATCTGGGATTAGATAAGTAGGGTGCACTCCTCCAGGAAAAGAGAGAGAGTGTATTCCATTCCAGACAAATGGATACCAGACACATGTGGAGCTCTCTGCAGTTTGGCTTGGATACTCTTAAGCTTGGTGACGATTTTACGGGTATCAGATAACTATCTAAGCAAACAGAACCACATTTTCATTCCTTGCCCCCTCTGCTCTCTATCTCCGGTATTTTCCAGTCATTATAGTGGATGATGGAATGCTCAATAGAGCAGAGAAGACACATATTCTGCAGCTTTCTAAACATTTTATCTTCAGGGCTGTTTAATTTTAATAAACACAAATGTTCATCTTAAACTGAGGTGCCATCTGTGTCTGTTCAGGTGAA